TTTGGGGCATACATGCACATGCACCCAGCATGAGTTTCAAGCCACCAGGTCTGAGAATGAACTACAGCTGGTCATGCGGGAAGTCCAGTGCTTTAACCACCACACCATCGCCCTCTCCCATTTTAACTCTCCATCCTCTCAACACTCTTACAAGAGCTCACCAAATTTTACCACATGAATATTTTTATCAAGAGATTTTATCCTGGGACCAGCAGTTAGCCTAATGGCTATGTCGCTGGACTCCCATGTATTCCACCGCGGTTCGTGTCCTGGATCCGGTGGCTTAAAACTCATGCCAGGTGCGTGTGCGTGCGTGCCCAAGATCCCGAGAGGAGAATGGAGGAGAAGGGATTGCGGCGTGGCCATCCCCCCGGGGGGTGATTTCTCGCTTTCTGTCTCTCTGTCTCTCTCTGTCTGTCTGGCGAGCACATGCGCCCTATAGTGAAAAATCTCTCCAAAAAAAAAAAAATGAGAGAGATTTTATCCTAATAACTACAATTACAGTGCTTGTTTGTCGAAATGAAAACTGAAAGCAAGTAAACAAAACAGTTGATTACTAATCGTGTACTGAAAGCAGTAAGCGGTTCCACAACACCAAATAAACCAGTTCTGAGGTTCTCCTCAAGATAAATTTTTTTTGGGGGGGGAGAGTTTTTTGCTGTAGAGCACATGCGCTCGCCAGAAAGAGACAGAGAGACAGAAACCGAGAAATCACGCCCCATGGAGGATGGCCACACCACAATTCCATCTCCTCCATTCTCCTCTCAGGATCTTGGGCATGCATGCACACACGCCCAGCATGAGTTTAAGCCACCGGGTCCAGGACTTGAACCCTGGTTGACTACATGGGAGTCCAGCGACATAGCCATTACACCAACTACTGGTCCCACCCCAAGATAAATTTAACAGCTTCAGGTTCTACACTGTTTTATCAAAATACAACAGAAAAAAGTAGAGGTCATCTTTTTTCTACAGTAAATCAGTCCCTTGTGGGCTGAGCAAGAGAAATCTACTTCACATATAGAAAAAGGAGTGCTCCAGAGGGGCTTGGTTCTAGAACAGACCAACCTGCACGTGCTACTGCCGGTGAGATTCCAGACATCCAGTCAGCCTTGTCTGAGTAAGTGTGCAAGTGAGCACTGGGAACAGCAGGGGCTCCTGTTCTGCCCACACGCTGATCAAGGTGGGCGCGGCTTGCTACATAGACCCTTTCTATTGGACCATGTCACCTTACCTGGGGGCTGGGGGGGGGGTGATCAGGAGAGCTGTGGCCTCTCAGCCTGTCCCCTAGGTGAACCATGTGAGCACAAGTACAAGCACAATGCTATGTAATGCAGGGTGACTCAGAGAAAAGCAAGTCACAGGGATCTCTATTGTGACCAGGCAAAGTTGACTGCAGTTTTGTCACCGCCTCTTACATTCCCAAAAGGGAACAAATGATCCGATGGACTAGTTTTCAGGCCATTATTACAAGATCTACACTAGGCATAGTCTCCCTTCTTTATGTCCAAGTGTTTTCCTTATCTTGTATTTTTAACTTTTTTTTTTTTTAATGCACTGAGTTTAGGTTAAAAACCAACCACTGAACAAGTACAAATGGAAAATGGGGATATAAAACAAACCAATAAAAATACCATGTGAGGATGGGAACAGCAGGTGGCATGGTGGTTAAGGCGCTGGACACTCGCACGTGGCCAACCACAGTTCGAGTCTCAGACCTGGTGGCTTCCTTTCTCACTTTCCCTCTCTCTCTTTCTCTGTGTCTCTCTCTGGCAAAATTAAAATAAATGAATGAATAAATAAAATTAAATAAATAATTTTTTAAAAATACCATCTGAGGGTATTACTGTCCAAAAATTAAGACTGCTACTCCAAACCATGAATTGGTTTTGCTCCCACTTACCATGTGACTTTTGGGGAAAACGTCCTAACTATAGCAGAAATGGTGTCTGGGCAGTGGAATAGTAAAACTGGAGCAGTATAATGGTGATAGATTGAGGCTCATTGTTGACATCTCCTTAATAGACTTTAGCAAAAGTAATTTTTAGTAAAATACAAACTGTTTTAATGTCAAAAGAAGAAATTATTACACAGCACAGTACAGATGCTGTCCAGCATCTATTATAGTCTGCTTCCTTTGATAAGAATTTCTAAATTTTCATTTAAGAATCCACTCCAGCATCACTCTCAGTCCTAGAAGCTGGTTCCACCTTTGGTTTTGTGGATGGGGTTTAAGATCAAGACAGTGAACGAGAAGATTCCACCACCACTCCCCCAGCCATTGAAAGGCTCATAGACAGGTATATGGCCTAATTCAAGTCAACCAGGGATAAAGAGGTTCCGAGCAAGGACATGGTTGTGCAATGGGGAAGCACTAGATTCCTATTAAGTTGATATGTTCTGGTAATAACTTGAAGCCAGCTTCTATATCCTGACAATGAATCAAGTAGAGTATACATGGTAACCACATAACCATTGGAGGTGAAGAGTAGACAGGTTCTAATGACATCATGTAAGCCCTGACCCGCTTGCCTTGAATACTATCCCTTGCCTTTCAGTTATAGAGCCAATAAATTACCTGAAGAACTAATTCTTCACTGATCCATAGCTTAACTGTTTCCTTTTATAATTAAATCACACTGTTTTTAGTCAGATGGTATGATAATATAGCACTTTCTAAGGTTTGTGGTACAAGAGAAGATGCACAAATTTAAAGTATAAATTTGATCAAAATACATGAATAAATTCTGGAAATCTGGTTTCATAGCCATAAAATCCTGTAAATAATTCAACCAATCTTGCATGCCTATTCTATGCTAAGTACTGATTTCAGCAAGATGAGGGCACTTCTGTAGTAAGAAATAAATGCAATCCCTAAGTGTTCTGATTTTCTCAATTGACACATTTAGCTCTGTTTAAAACTTTTTTTTTTTTTCTTTTGGAGAGGTTTTTGCTATAGGGCGCGTATGCTCGCCAGACAGACAAAGAAAGACAGAGAGACAGAAAGTGAGAAATCACCCCCCAGGGGGAATGGCCACGCCGCAATCCCTACTCCTCCATTCTCCTCTCGGGATCTTAGGCACACATGTACACGCGCCTGGCATGAGTTTAAGCCACCAGATCCGGGACTCGAACCGCGATTGACTATGTGGGAGTCCAGCGACATAGCCATTACACTAACTGCTGGTCCCATGTTTAAAACTTTTATTACAAACATTTCAGGAAATATCTCAGCAACATAACTGTAACTTGCTCAACTCCCATCTATATGACTGAGTGTCCCTATGATGTTCTCAGGCTAGGGTTATAAGAATAGGAGTGAGACTTTGAGTATGGCTTCCTCTGGCTGCTAAGTCTAGAAACAAGGAAGATCTTAAAAATAGCTTCCAGAAAGAAAGCTGAACCCAAGTAACCCAACTAACACGATTCTACCATAGCAACGATATGAAAAGAATGAAGAAGTGAAAACCAATGAAGAAAGCAGGAACAACTGGTTAGAACAAAAGAGGAAAGGATGGGACCAGCAGTTAGCGTAACGGCTATGTCGCTGGACTCCCATGTAGTTGACAGCGGTTCGAG